TACAGCCCCAGATTGGAGACCTTCCCAGAAAGGCCACACACCAGTCACACAGAGAGCTCCAGCTACCTATCTGGCCAGGCTGAAGCCTCATGAGCAAAACCCCTCTGACCCCACAGCTCTCCCTGTGCCCCAATCTCACCTACCCCGAACGGGTTCTTCCGGTCCCAAGAAACCAGCCACAGGTCCCAGTCAATTTACACTCTGGATCTTACCCACAAGACCACGCTGAGCCAATCCTTTAGAATCTAAAATCTAAATCCAGCTACCTATCTGGCCAGGCTGAAGCCTCATGAGCAAAACCCCTCTGACCCCACAGCTCTCCCTGTGCCCCAATCTCACCTACCCCGAACGGGTTCTTCCGGTCCCAAGAAACCAGCCACAGGTCCCAGTCAATTTACACTCTGGATCTTACCCACAAGACCACGCTGAGCCAATCCTTTAGAATCTAAAATCTAAAGGTTGATTACTAAAAGAAAGAAAATCCTGAGAGTAAGGTTGTTGAGGAGAATACATTACATGCACCGAATCGCCCAGTTCTCAATGCAGGCTCTTAGCAGAGATGTTACAACTGCTGGCTTAAAAGTCTCTGGTGTACGTCCTAGGTCAGGACGGGTCCACGGTTCTTCCTGGCTCGTTGTTCCTCACAAGGCTGCATCTGGGATCAAGAGCAGAGCTGAAGACCAAAACGGAGTCTGCCGCATGGCATTTTATATACACCCTTGGTCTCTTCCAAACTGGAGTGGGTCACACGGCCCAGGGACCTATCCTTGTGTCCCAAGCCAGCAATCATTATTCTGGCTGGTCTGCAGGCATCCAAATTCATTCCCCAGGTGTGTCTTTGGCACCTAGAGATCCATTGTCCCTGGAGCTTTGCTAATTAGCATAGACACTGAACGAACATTCCTGGCCCATAGCTCTGCCTCAGAGAGAAAATTTTCCAGCATCAACACAGCGTGCACACTCATAACTCCACACACAGACATTATACAAGTACATGAATAGCATCTACAGAATCAGTAGAACAGAAGCTTTCATGTGACACCTCACATGACCCCCTTTGTACAGACTTTTGGGGGATATACCCCCTCATGGGTGCTGCTCCCCTTCCCCCCCTCCACCCCCCCCCCCCCAACCCCCTGCAGTGAGCAGCTGCCTGTGACAGGTGTCCACAGCAGCCTAGGACTGCAGACAGCTGGAGCTTCCTGGCTTGGCGAGGGAAGGGAAGGGCAAGGTTGAGGGGCTCTGTGTGGAGGGTGGAGAAGGAGAGAGACCCCCCCACCCCGAGTCATCAAACTGCCAGAGCCCACCCGGGTGGGGGATGGGCACGGAGGGGGGGTCCCACAGAGGTCGGGTTGGCAGCCACGTGATGCAGACACACCACGTGCATGGCACCCAAGTGCCCAGCAGGGGGCAGGCGGACTCGCAGGGTGGCCGTGGGGCCTCGTGGAGGGCGCACTGATCCGGGGCAGGGACAGGCTGTCCCACGGCCCTGCTTGGTGACTTTGGCCATGTCCCATCATGCTCTGGGCCTGAGTTTGCCATGGGTACAGGAGGGGTAATGGTGTAAAGTACTTTGCCCTGCACTGGGGGGAATTTCTGCCATGCCCTGGCCAGAGCAGGGGGGGTCTGTCGCCATCCCGCCATCGCTCCGGTTCGCCAGAGACCTGAGGCTGATTGAACGTGCTGCGCTGGATGGTCCCAGCCCCGCACCAGATGACTGGCGCTCGGCTCTGACTGCCAGGGAATCCCCCCTGCGTTCAGCCTGGCTTTGCCCATCGAGATCAGAGCCCCCGCTGCGCCGGGTGCTGCACAGAGCAAACAAGAGGCAGCCTGTGATGGACTGGGCCGGGTCTGGGCACAGCTGAGTGTGTCCGCACAGGGCAAATTGCTCAAACTTGGGCCTCCGCACAGCCCCAGACTGGAGGCCCTTCCCAAATAGTCCACAAACCTTCAGAGCACTTCAGCTGCCGGTCTGGCGAGCCAGAAGCCTCACGAGCAAAACCCCTCGGACACCCCAGTTTTATCCGTGCCCCAAGCAGCCCCGGGCCTAACACACAGGTGGGGGGTTATAGGACCCACTCTCACCTACCCCGAATGGGTTCTCCGGTCCCAAGAAACCAGCCACACATCCCAGGTCAATTTACACGCTGGATCTTACCCACAAATCACGCTGAGCCAATCCTTTAGCATCTAACATCTAAAGGTTTATTACTAGGAGAAAGAAAAGCCTGAGAGTAAGGTTGTTAAGGAGAATACATTACATGCATCGAATCATCCAGTTCTCAATGCAGGCTGTTAGCAGAGATGTTACAAACTGCTATCTTAAAAGACTCTGGTTACATCCTATGTCAGGACGGGTCCACGGTTCTTTCCAGCTTGTAGTTCCCTGCGAGGCTGCATCTGGAATTAGGAGCAAATCTGAAGACCAAAATAGAGGATGCCACATGGCACTTATATACCTCCTTGATCTCTCCCAAGATGGAGAGTCACACGGCCAGTGGCCAGGTGTGTCTTTGGCCTTTAGAGATTCATTGTTTCTGGAGCCTTGCTCATTAGCATGTCCATTGGCTGAACATTCCTCTCCCATTGCTCATCCACAGACAGAGAAGTTTCCAGTATTAACACAGAGTATATATTCATAACCTCACACTCAGACATTATACAAGTGTATGAATAGCATAGACAGAATCAATAGAAGGTAAGCTTTCATTTGACACCTCACATGGCCCCCTTTGAACTAATGTTTGGGGCAAACACCCCCCCATGGGTGCAGCAGTGATCTGGCTGCTCCACTTAAAACCTAGTAACGTGACACAGTCCCTGCCCAAGGAGTTCACAGGCTGAACAGAAAAAAGTGGGCAGGGGAAACTGAGGCACGGAACTGTCCCATGCTCCCACTGCTGCCAGGCGGAGAACCCAGGTGTCCCGACAACCACCTGCTGTCCTGCCCACTGGGCCAGCTAAATCCATCGTAACCAACACACTAAACGATTCTCCCAGGATGCTCCAGGCCAGGTGTTGGGAGGCCCGGGGGTAACCCCAGCGCTCACAGCCCTGAATGCCATTAGCTTGGGCGGAGCAGATGCTTGTCACTCTGAGTCTTCCAGGCCGGGTTGGGGTCTCTGGGGTTGGGAGGCAGGTGCCCCGGGCAGGGCCGGGCCCGGCGTGATGCAGGAGCAGACAGGGCCCCTCCTCTCGGGAGCAGAGGGCAGCTGCAGGGTGCATCAGAGGCAGCTGTGGGGGGCACTATGGAGAGTAGAGGGAGCCTATTGTTGTCCCAGAGCTCAGCACTGGCCAGATCCTGCCCCCAGGCTGGGGGTCCCAGTGCCCCTGCTCACCGCAGGCAGGGTAGGGCTACGTGACAGGGTGTGATGGACCGGGCCGGGTCTGGGCATAGCTGAGGGCATCCGCTCAGGGTGAATTGCTCAAATTCAGGGCTCTCTATAGCCCCCAGACTGGAGACCTTCCCAAACAGGCCACAAACCAGTCCCACAGAGCGCTTCAGCTGCCTGCCTGAAGCCTCCCGAGCAAAACCCCTCCAACACCCCAGCAATATCCGTGCCCCGGATGGCCCCGGGACTCATACACAGGGGAGGGGTCTTAGCATCCAATCCCACCTACCCCGTATAAGTTCTGTCCGGTTCCAAGAAACCAGCCACAGATCCCTGGTCAATTTACCCTCTGGATCTTACCCACAAATCACGCTGAGCCAATCCTTTAGCATCTAACATCTAAAGGTCTATTACTAAGAGAAAGAGAAGCCTGAGAGTAAGGTTGTTAACGTATCATACATTACATGCATCGAATCTCCCAGTTCTCCATGCAGGCTCTAGCAGAGATGTTATAGCGGCTGGCTTAAACAGGCTTGCAGCAGAGATGTTATAGCTGCTGGCTTAAAAGTCCTTGTTGCACATCCTATGCCAGGATGGGTCCACAGTTCTTCCCAGCTCGTGAATTCCTGCGAGGCTGCATCTGGGGTAAGAAGCAGATCTGAAGACCAACATGGAGTTGGCCACATGGCATATTTATACCCTCCTTCCAGGTTTCTTCCCAGCTTGCTAGAGTCACATGGCCAGGTGTGTCTTTTGGCCTCCAGAGATCCATGTCAATACGCAAACATTCCTGGCCCATTACTCAACCACATATAGAGAAATATTCAGTACTCATACAAAGTACATGCTTATAACTTCACACACAGACATTATACAATCACATGAATAGCATATAGAGAATCAGAAGAAAGGAGGCTTCTACTTGACACCTCACATGGCCCCCTTTGTGCCACTTTTGGGGCCAACACCCCCCCTCCCATGGGTGCAGCGGTGATCTGGCAGCTTCCCTAAAATTCAGTAACATGATACAGGGTCTGCCTGGTCACCCCCCACCAGCCTTAGGCCCATAGTTCACAGGTCCATGGCAGTAAGTGTGTGTGTGTGCAGGGAAGGGCAGGTCCCGGGCTCTGAAAGGCACCCCCCAGAGAGTCCCTGTCAGGGGAGGGGAGAGGACCCTGACCCCGGCACTCAGGGAGAGCTGGCACTAGCCCCGCTGGGGGCTGCCCCATTCCCTGTGGCCAGGCCCTGCGGTGTAACGGCCCCGGGCTATCGGGGTCCCAGCGCGGCTGTTACTGTGTCAATCCCCTTGTGAAAGGGAGATGCTTATCTGCAGGGAACCTGGGCTGGGATGGGCAGGGGGCGGGGGAAACAGCTCATTTGTGAGCTCCCCTGATGGCCGCAAAGGGGCGACATGAGGCAGCTGGGGGGGCACAGCCCAGGGTGGGCGTCACAAGCTGTGGGGGGCAGGGAAGGGGGAACACAAGGGGCTGGGAGCTGGGCTCTTCCCCCATCGCCAGCTTCCTGCTCCAGCCCAGTATAAGGGGCTGGCACGGCTGGACCAGGCAGAGCTCCCCGGACTGGTGGCTGTCACAGAGGTGAGCGGGGTCTCTGGGTGGCCCCAGGGGCTGTGGGGAGAAGAGACGGGGACCAGCCCCAGGGCAGGATGGTCACTCAGCAGGGCCTGGGGCTCAGGCGGCAGCACTAGATGCCCTGGGGAGGTGACTCCCATAATTCATCTCTCTGTGACTGGGGAAAATCCCAGCCTGACCCCAGGGCCTGCTCAGCTCCTGCCCTTCAGGCTGAGCTCGTGAAGCCTCATTCTTGGCCCCTGGGAGGTGACGGGGATCTGTGCGGGGGGGAGGGCATCACTCCTGGCTCTCAGCAGCCAGCACTAGATGCCCTGAGGAGGTGACTCCCATAATTCATCTCTCTGTGGCTGAGCAAATCGCAGCCTGACCCCAGGTCTGCTCAGCTCCTGCCCTTCAGCCTGAGCTCATGAGGCCTCATTCTTGGCTCCTGAGGCTGCCCTGCTGCCCAGAGAGGCCTGGTATTGCTCAGTGCACTCGGTTCTTATATCCTGTGGTGGGGAGTTCCACAGGCTAACGCCCCATGCTGTTCTCCCTGACAGTCTCTCTCCATAGCCAGTGGGTGCCCATACTGAGGTACAAGGCAGGTGCAATGGTGGGGGCAGGGGTTCTAAGCAGAGCGGTCAGTCTGGGCTCGGTGGGGGTGGGAGGAATTTGGGGGGGTCAATCTGAGTCTCACAGCAGTTCACCCCCCAGCTCCACCCAAGATGAAGCTGTCCCTGGTCCTGTCACTTGCCCTGCTAGGGGCCGTCTCTGCTCACCAGCTCGGTAAGTTCTGGGGCCCAAGTCCCTGTGGCAATAGCACTTCTCCCACCCCAAGGGGGTGTCTGACCTATAGGCCAAATCCCCAATGGGAACCTCCCCTCTCGCACACCCTGCTTGGGTTGGGTCAGACCCCAGCAAGGACAGGACAGGGCTCCAGTACCCCCCGATCTGTGCTCTCACCGACCCACAGCCCCACTCTGGGCTGGCCACCTGGGTTCCCTGGTCGCACAATCTCCCCCGACCCTCTCCATTCCGGACCCCAGCATCCCCTAATCTTCCAATGACTCCCCAAACCTCAGCAGCCCGGACACCAGGGTCCCCTGGCCCCTCCCAGCCCCCTGCATTCATGGATTGTTCCAGGGCTGGGCTCTGTCTTGGGGCTGGAAGGGTCCACTGGTGTATGCACCCCCCCAGATGCAGGTGCCCTAGAGCAGGAGATCCCGGATGAAGAGGGTGAGGAGGAGTCTGGGGAGCCAGAGCCACCCTGCCCCACGGAGAGTGAGATCGTCCGGATGGTCGTGCCAGGCACTGGGGGCCGCACCTACCGCTATGTGTTTGTGAGCAGTTGCCAGACTTTTAGGGGTGCCCAGGTGAGTGGAGCAGGGGGCAGGTGGGTGGGGGACTCACAGATGGGTCAGGAGGTGAGTTAGGAGGCCCAGAGAGGCAGTGGAGGGAGCGTGGGGCAGTGAAGGCATCGGAGGGGGAGCAGGGTTGGCATAGGGAGAGTTGATGGCATGGAGGGTGGCGGGCATGGGGAGGGGGGCATGGAGGCAATGGGAGGGCTGTGGAGTGAGTGGTGCATGGGGCAGTGGAGGGGGCATAGGGGCAGGAGGGGGCGTGGGGGGGCACTGGCTGGTGGATGTCAGTGTGTGCCTGGAGCCCTGGCTGCCCTCTCACCTCTCCCCACAGCGTCAGTGCTCCCGCTGCTACCACGGCCGCCTGGCCTCCATCCACAGCCGTGCGGGCCACCAGACCCTGCAATGCACGC